ACTACCGAATGAAACAATCTTGGTGAAGTCAAAGCATATGGTTGATTTAAGAATATCTCTCAAATTTCAGCTATTCCCCTTTTTATGGATGGTGCTGTTCCGTGTGTTACATACGTAAATGATCCAACAACAAGAGCTGTGCTGCAAAATAAAGTGAGCAGTTATCGCTTAAATTTTTCTTCATTTGGTTCTTTTGTTAGTGGAGAAAAGAATCATTTGAACGATAGGTAAGCGATCATTCTGTGTACGATCATTTGAAGTGTGTTTTTGCACTTTATCCACAACTATAGTGCCTGTCTGCTCAATCAAGCACTTCTCTAGATTCGTGAAATGTGTGGCGCTAAGAGGGATGGTTTCCCGGGCAGTCAACCGGTTTCAATGGAACGATCTCCGGAGCGTGATAACCTGAAGTTTCTCGCCGAAAATCCCTATATGGTCTCATGGAAAGCCGATGGAGTTCGGTAAGTGCCTGATTGGATTTATTAAAATGGCAATTTTCTCAGATATTTCTGGATTTCTTCTGAATTTGAATCACAAATTGTCATTATCTTCATAATCTATTGAGTGTTTAATTCTATTCGATCAATGTTAGAAATTTTGAATAACATTCAAATCCACTGAAACGTGACTGTTTAAAGGTATATGGTGTTGATAAACGATGAAGATGAAATATATGCGTTTGATCGTGACAATAACGTGTTTCGAATTCCTTCAATAACCTTTCCACATCGTAAAGAATCTCGCCATTTACGTGATACATTAATTGATGCAGAAGTTATCATCGATAAGGTTAATCATTCGTTATCAGTTTTTTAATCGTAATGTGTTCAGCAGTTAGTCCGAGTATTGATCACTAATATCGTACCAGTAAACTGACTTTGCTTCGAATTCTTAGAAATGAGGTGTACCAAATGCTATATGTTGCATATTCAATTCACCATGTGAAATATATCAAGTGCTCAGTGCTGTGATATTACGATGTTCGAAGTTTTTGAACAAATTATGGAGTATGAGTCGTCTACTTGCAAATGTATATCATTGTTGTATATCAGTGTATGAAACTGATTCATGATCGCTATTTCAGGTGCCCGGTGAAGATGGCCAAATGAAGGAAATACCTCGCATGCTGATCTATGATATTATAAAATTTGAGGTTTGTATTAGAATGTGTTACAATTGTATGTATATTCGTGATTTTATTTCTGATGTTGCTTTGATCAGTGGCTTATGGTCATGTGCAAAATAATGTTGTGGTGGGCTACATGCGAGCACGTGACAGTTTGTAACGTCAAGAATGTTTCTTTATATTCAACTAGTACTGAAATATATCGTAATGGATGATAAGCCCATCATTTGATTTATGTGCTTAACGAGGAATATCTAAGAATATCCACATAGTTCAGTTAAAAAAGTTGGAGATTCGTATGCTAATGAATTGTTGAAATTTACAGGGCGAATGTGTTGGCGAATGCGACTTTCCGAAGCGTTTGTTATGCATCCAGAAGGAATTGATAGGGTATTGTATTT